GGGACTCCAGGATCATGACCTGAGCCGAAGGCAGTCGCTTAACCAACTGAGCCACCCAGGCGCCCGCTTTTCAGATTCTACGATTCTATAGAGTTCTAGCAAAATCTCCCTTATGATAGCTTGCCATAAGGGGCATCACCTAAACTGCAAATGAGGAGCGTATCTTGAAAGAACTTTTGGACCTGTTACTGTCTTCTAAGAAAGCATGGAGATTAAAAGTAAAGAGCGCTAGAGGGGCGCCTGGGTGGCTCTGCCGCCTTCGGCTCAGGTCATGATCCTGGCGTCCTGGGACTGAGTCCCACGTCGGGCTCCCTGCTCGGCGGGGGGTCTGCTTCTCTTTCTTCCTCTGCCCCTGCCCCCGCTTGTGCTCGTGTGCTCTCTCTCTCTCTGTCAGATAAATAAATAAATAAAATCTTAAAAAAAAGAGCACTAGAACTACCTTACCTAGATTCATGACCTGAGACGGAAGCATCTGTCTTTGGCCAGGCTGGCTGCTGGGTCTCATGGGGTTCCGAATCATGCCTCCTTGGACTGGCCGGCTCACGGCGCTGGTGGGAGCAGCACAGGTGACTCTCACGGCAGGACTCTGTGGTGCCCACTCCCCAGATGGCATCGTGGGCCGGGAAGCATTACCACCCACCATTCCTGCAGGCAAGCCAGAGGAAACGGAGACATGGGGCAACTGAAAACATAGTCGGCACGGATGAACACCAGATGATCTCACTCTGTAGAAGACAATCATTCTGTAATACACAGCTGGCCCGATAGGTAACGCCCTCATTGGGACAGAAGCAGACCCCTGGCTAAGAAACAAGAGTTGGCAATTTCTACAGGTGCTCAAAGCACAGACTTGCCACTCTTCATAGTTCGGAAAAGCTGTTAAAATTGTTCCCACATGTACTTAGAAGCAGGTGCTGTGGTGTGTGGATAACCCCAACTTCCTTCCTCAGGAAGTGAATCACATTAGCTGATCTACACGTTAATGCTTTCCTTTCCAAAAGGGAGGTGAGGCTAAGAGAAACAAGGTTTAAACTGATAGTCAATACTCTGGTTATAAATCCAAATCACAGAATATCCCATGAAGCTGATGTCACATTTTTAAACCCTCAGCTCCCTTTCAGACTACTATAATTTGTTAAGCTTCTTTGGTAGCCTCTAAAACATGAAGAAATTATAGGATCTTTCCACCACAGTTTTTTATATCCAAGGCAAGGGAACTCCTCCTCATAGTGTACTTCAATATACCTGGACCACCACATTCCTGATCATATAGATCAAAATGGGTTAGGGCAGATTGGTAAAATCTTTTTATACTTGAGATATTATCAGTTATTTGGCCACACTTAACAATAAGAGCACAATACTCCAAGCAGGACCAAGTGTTCGCTCTCTCTGGCCTGGCCCCTCGGGATGCTGACAATGGCCAAATATTGGCTAAGACTTGATACTCTAAAGGGGAAAAAAAATCCAAGCAAGAACCCCGCATTTCGAAATGTTTAATGATGGATATATAAAAGTTTTGCTTTCATTATGGGGCGCCTGGGTGGTTCGGTCGGTTGAACATCTCCGTTTGGCTCAGGTCATGATCTTGGGGTCCTGGGATCAAGTCCCACGTTGGGTCCTTGCTCACTGGGGAGTCTGCTTCTCCCTCTGCCACTCCCCACCACCACTCATGCTCTCTCTAATAAGTAAAATCTTAAAAAAAATAAAAGTTCTGTTTTCAAATAGATGGCTTGCTTTCATTTACTTTAATTACGATAACTAAAAATAGAGTATATTTAAGAAACAGAGAGAACATGTATTGCGGGTGGCTTTTCACTTGTGAAATGAGAATGTGCTACGTTAGGATGATAAGGAATAAAGGATAATTAATTTGACTGAAGAAGTCAGAACAATATTATAGTAATATATATTTTAAAAACCATTTGAAGATTAAATTTGAATTACACAAATGTATTATGGGAGAAAGGCATTTTATTTTTCCAAAAACCTGGTCTCTAAATAATATAACAAGATTACGGCAAGTCCAGAAAGCAGAAGGAAAAATGACCCACAATTCAACAACATTCCTGCAATTATAATAACTGGGGTCTCAATCTCTTTCAGGCTTTTTCTTTTTCTTTCTTGAAACAAAGCACAGGCACTGTATGATCTTCAGAGTCTGGACACCAGTGATCTCCAGGCTGCCCAGATTTGAAAACAGGTATACCCTAAATTCCTCCCTCCAAGACCTCTCCAAGAACTCAGAACTTCTTGTGTTCTCCTAATAAGGAGGCACTTTTAATAAGTCACTGGGGCTCCTTTTCTGTTATAGAATGTTGCAGAAAGCAGTATTTTATTTATATAAATCAATACTTTATCTTAAATTATAAAATTAATATGGCCCTTATTTCTGTGAATACATAAAGTAGTGAAGTAGTGAGTGCCTGGCACATATGGTAGGCTATGCCCAATAAATATTTGTTGAAGGAATCAACGATTTTAATACAGCATGGTACACGTTTCCCCACGAATTGCTTGCTCATCAATACCCGAAAATAAATAAATCCAACTTTTCCCCTTAAACTGAATTCTCATTTTCAGCCAGCTGTCTAAAATGGCAATGTGCATAGAGATTCAAGACTAAGCTAAAAAAAAAAGAAAAAAACAAGAACAAATATAAATTCTTTTCATAATATCTATTTCTTTCAATGCCTTTTTCCTGAGTACTTCATTTTGTCAAAGGAAGAAGGCTGTAAATTGTGAGCAGTTCATTAGGAAACTCAGCATCCTGCTACTAGGTCTGTGATAAATAGATATTATAGGGTACAGGACGTGGTGGTAACAGCAATCACTGCTGCTCAGACGATTTCTAGCCTTAATTAGCTGGAAGTGCGGGAACGCGGTAGCTGTGATGACACTGAGTACCACTTAGCAAATGTGCAGGGGCAACTTGGCAGATACCTGAAGTCACAGCAAGTCAAGGTCCAAACCAGATCACAGGCAAAGTCATACATCTTCAAAAAGGGGGCCCTGGACCCGGGACTCTTAGGCCAAGCCTATTACCATGTAAAGTTCTTTATTTTTAATTAACATTTTTCTGAAGAACTGTATCATTTATAAGTATGAAAAGTTGGCTGAATTTTAAACTTTCATTCTGAAATTCTCCAAAAACAAATCATCAATTAATAGGAGGTTTTGGGATTATCAGCAGATTACAGGAGATGCCAGCAACCACCAAATCATTTTACACGTAACACTACAATGCCTAGAACAGTAAACTGCAAGAGAAGACATAAGCCTATGCTATAGGATTAATGATTAGAAACCCCGTAAAAGTAATGAGCACAGAATAAAATGGTCAGCTTACTGGAATGTTTCCCAATGCTTCACATGCCACTCTCCCAGTCAAAGTTTGTAGGATTTTCTTACCTTCCAGTATTGGTTTCTAACATTAAAAAACATTCATTTGAAAAATTCTACTAGTCTGATGTGGATGAATACATCATTAAGTTAAATAACCCACCAATAAAGTAACAGTGCATTTGAGCCCTTACCTGTGCTACTGTTCCCTAAATTTCCTTGGTTTCCTATCATCCCTTGATTACCCATCATTCCTGGCTGAGGTATCACTGAGTAGGGACTACTGTTTCTGATTGGTGGGAAAGGTCCAGCACCAGTTGGGCTTTGCAATGTGATGTCAAGTGGTAAATTCTGGTTTGGCAATAACCTGCCCAGTTGCCCTGGTCGTGGGTTATTAAAAGCTAAGGAGAAAACAAATGAAAATTGAAGGTTAATATAGGATAATGGAAAAGAATAGCAACAGAAGCAGTGTTCAGGGAAAATGCTGTCTGTAAAATATCGAAGATATGCACATCAGGGACCAACTGCCTACGTAAAAGACAAACTCACAGACAAAAAAAAAAAAAAAAACAACCAAAATTTAATCAACAGGTCTCTTATTTAACTCTTAACAATCTTGCAAAAAGAGAGGAAAAAAGCCCCCATGTCTTTTACCATATATTTTCCTCCCCAACACTAATTTCTAACATTTAATCATATTTGCTAAGTAAAACACTCGTATGGTCTTGTCCATACGTGCCATTATCGGAATTTAGGAGTCCTGCTTTGTCACAGCTATGAAGCTACGAACCTCTCCTGTAGAGAGCCCCAAACCTAGACACACGTGGTCTGGACATAGAATTTCTTAACTGGACTTTCCTAGGAGTAGAATTAGGTTAGAAGTATCTATTTGCCTTGGAAGTTAAAATTTTTTAAGTGTGAACTCTGCCCCCTAAAGTCAGTATTAAAGATTTAGGGCCCTGTTTAATCTTCTAAATACAGCTTCTTTAAATTCCGGACACATTCAGATTTGAAAGGATTCTTAATGGTGGACTGACAGAATCCATGGTCGTGTGCGCACTGCACTGTACTATCACACAGACAACCAATAATTTGATAAGCACATTTTTAAATTTTAAAAGTATACAGATACTATAAAGGACAGTTTATAGAGCTACTTTATGAAATAGTATCAAGTATTTTATTTTCACCGACTTACATAAGCATAGTATGAAACAGAACATTCAGAATAAATAAGTTCTTAACAATTAATAACAGAAATAAAATATTTAGAAGAATTAGGGCTCGGAATGGGAATGGTGTATGCTTAATCATGATTCCCTCAGGTTTAGCTCTCTGGTTGGCACTCAACAATCTGACCACCATCAGAAGGTACAAATAGAGGAGAAAGCATGAGTCCCCATGCCACCCTTCATTAATGCCTCCGGTTAATGAGCATAAACTTCTCTAGTGTGCTTCTTACTCACTCCCCGACTCTTTGACTTTGTGATCGCCCATGGTCCGGAAGTACCTTCCATTCCTCGGGAAACACGAAGGTTTGAGAGATGATAACAAACACAAACTATTTTGTTTTACCCATTTCAGAATAATCAAGAATCACTTGAGAAAAGATCTAGTAATTAAAGATATTTTGTGATTTGGTTGATGATTGCCATTTCCAGTTTGAGAACAAATGCTAAGCACAGAATGAGACTGTACTTGACGAGGGAAAAATCATTCTGTTCATCAAGTTAACACTAAGGACATCATCTATCGTTCCATAAATTATGTCTCTCTGTACAGGAGAGGTATTTTCTTCCATTCAAAACTGTTGGACTACTTCAGGTAACTGAGTTTGTAAACTAAGTGATCCTGGTGAAGAAAGAATTCGTCTTAAACTTACAAAAATCTAAAATAAAAAGAATAAATGATAGAAAAAATGTATTTTCTAAAATAGTCTAAGGTCTTCCAGCTTTATACCAAATTAGTTAAAAGTGTACTTAGAAAACAAGTATGATAAAGTTCCATTCAAACTGATAATTAAAAGATTATTCCTGAGATAGGCTATTTTTAATGTGTGTAGCCTGTTCACATATTATGATTAAATATTAAGAATTTTTAATAGCATTTTATTCCTAAAAAGTCAGCCTAACTTTATAATTTTCTATATTTAAAGTATCCACTTATATACTCAAACACATAAAGTCTATTTTAAACCCCATTTCTGAAGGCAGTAGCAAAAATAAAGGGAAACATGACAACCATCCAAAGAACTTTATCTATGTAGGTCAGTCTCACTGCAAATTGATTAAATTAACCCCCAGAGAGAATGCTGGAAAGCCATGTTCAAGAGAGTCCATTTTGAATGGTGTTTTGAAGAACCAATACAGTAGATGGCGCTATTTGATCACAAAAACCTTGAAGTGACTAAGCTGTTTGTATCAGATTTTAATAATCACTGTTTCTAATGGTGATTATATGGGAATTTCTTGGCATAACCATCAATATCTCATACTCACTGCTCTGTGAAATTCGCAGTGCTGTTTTCTGGGCTCCAACAGGTGTAACAGGACTGTTTTCAGCTGTGAGTTGCATGAGGTCATTGATGATGGCTTGCTTGTCAACTGATCCAGCAGGGGCGCCTGGCCGCGTGTCTGGGAAAAGCTGTGGTAATTGACTATTCTGCAAATCATCCAAAATCTCCTCCAAGTTGTCCAGCTCACTGCCAGGCTGCAGTTAACAAACACAAGAGTTTATCCAGTCCCACCCTGAGAGTGGGCCCCACAGCCCCATCTGCAGTTACAGACCCAACAGGCACGAAGGCACCAGCACAACCACACAAAGGATGCAGACACACACGCAGACCTCGGGCCTAACAAGGGAATTGATCAGCTTTTAAAAATTTAAACTGACAAAGGCCAAATAACTTAATCCCTTCGTCCTCTATTTCCTCATCTAGAAAAAGAGCTCTCTTCCAGTGCTGATTCATTGGCAATGTATAAATTCCCCTTTATTGTATGCTAATAATTCAATCAGTCATGAGTATGTATATTTTTAATTAACTCTGAGTGTACTAGGACTTATGGTCCAGGTCTAGGTTTTGTGGTTAACTCTAAAAAATAACAACAACAAAAAACTGGTTCAAAAAAAAAATATGATCCAAATTTACACTACATCAGTGTTTTGTAGGTGGTCATTTCCTTCCAGGATTTCTTTTTTTAAGAGCAGGGGGTAAAACGCAAAATAAGCGCAAAATAAGCTCAAAGTCACCATGAATAGTTAAGCACTGCCTTTTCGATTTGACTGGTGTTTTTTTTCCTGCTTGCACTTTCAGTTTCAAATGACACTGGCTTTCTCAGTCAGTCACCAGCTTAGGTGACAAAATGTAGGGAAGCAGGATAAAAACATGGTGTCCCCATACACAGCATCTATTAACCTGACTTCACAGAAGGCAGAACAGTGTTTCTTAGGGCTTTTCCTTCTACTGAAGTCATTTCATTTCAATTACCAACATCAAAATAGTAAGGTGAATATCACCACTATCTCACACCTACTACTTTTCTTCCAGAAAGCTCAACTTATTTTATATTCTTTTAAGTAGAACCTATCAGGCAGTGCTAACCACACAAGAAAATGGAGAAGTTAAATGTCAGCAGTAGTTTCTAATGAAGAAAGTGGTAAGAATGATCTCTTGGATGTGTAGGTGGAAACACAGAAGCTAGGTAATTCCCTCAAAGTCACTGGATGGACTCTGAATCCTTGACCATGACTAGACATTTTATTGACACAGGGCATTCAAATGAAATTGTTTACATCCGATAGGAGGTAATACTTGGAGCAAAATGGCTCACAGTTTTATTCTTTTTTTTTTAAAGATTTTATTTATTTATTTGACAGAGAGAGAGAGCGCGAGAGAGGGAACACAAGCAGGGGGAGTGGGAGAGGGAGAAGCAGGCTTCCTGTGGAGCAGGGAGCCCGATGCGGGACTCGATCCGAGGACCCTGGGATCAGGACCTGAGCCGAAGGCAGACGCTTAACGACTGAGCCACCCAGGCGCCCCGCTCACAGTTTTATTCTATATACAACTCCTATTCCCCAGGCAGAGGTTGGATTTACTAAGGTTTTTGGAATTTATGGCATATGTAGTATCTGTATGGGAAGTCTTACTGGACATATTTCTCAAGTTGGGAAAGATAAACTGAAGTGACATTTTATTTCATTCCTTCTTCAGAGTCAACTAGCTTAGTAATAACCTGGAGATCAACTTTCTAGGAAATTCCCAGTGTGTTGTTGGGGCAATTACAAGACCATTTTCTAGTTTAGTTTAGCCACGCATTTCTAACAAAAGATGGAGGCATCAAATATTGGGAAGATATATCTTAGGTAAGGGTTGGGTTCCAAAGTTAGCATCCTAAAGTATAGACAGACACAAAATGATCCTTGGGGAGACACCTCACTGCACACCTATGTCCCCTCCAAGGGCAACACAGTCAGGTTCTCCTCCGGAGTGGAAGCACACTGCTGTTTTTTTCCTGAGTCCTAAATGACGTAGTGTGTAATGTGTGTAGGGGCTGTGCTGCATTTAAAAAACATGTAGCTACATGTTCACACTGTTAGAGCCATAGGAGAACCCACACCCAGTAATCTCTTGTCATCCATCTCATGATCATTCTGCTAGGGTACATACTTATGGGGTAAAACGGTGGGTGGAACTGCTCACACTACTTAACCACTTCGTAGCTGCCCCTTCCTCTCTTCTGAACGTGTATAGATGATTTTGTGTAAGTTAAATGTACATGTAAAGTGACTCCATTGTAAGTCTATCTTTATCATGTTTTGTTGAATACAAAAGGATAAACATCAGTATGAACATTTATTGTCCTCCAAGGACAGTTCCTGGAACACAGTCATGGACACTCAGTCACTTGGATGAATTCCTTTAACCATATTAACCTGTGATTTAAGAAAATTTCCCAGGATCAACTAAATTTCTCATAGAAATTCCTGTAATTTCCATTATTTTCTCAGAAAAATATTTCATACAAATGTGTGATAAATATCCTTGTAATTGTGTCATTAAAATAACTATAGAGATAAGAAAGAGGTTCTAATAAACTGATGTTTATTGCTGTCCTATGAAACCAGGTTTCCCTACTATGCTGCTGCCTTGTGTAGAGTATTTTATTTATTTAAAAGATTTTACTTATTTGACAGAGAGAGACACAGCGAGAGAGGGAACACAAGCAGGGGGAGTGGGAGAGGGAGAAGGAGGCTTCACGCAGAGCAGGAAGCCCAATGAGGGGCTCGATCCCAGGACCCTGGGATCATGACCTGAGCTGAAGGCAGACGCCCAACAACTGAGCCACCCAGGCGCCCCTAGAGTATTTTAAAAAGTGGTCCTTGAAGCTCATTGTGTGTGTGGGGGGGTGGTGGTGGGAAGAGTAGGGGGTGAAGGAGGAGGAAGGAAGGGTGAATAAGTAAAGTAATAAGTTGCTTCTTGAGAAAGCTCTGCAGATTGCCTTGGATGAGAAACAGCCAAAAATAAATAGGTTCATATAAACAGTAATAAAGTATATTATTATCCTCAGTGGATGCTCTTATACTTGCCCCCAATCCCAGATATGTGTAGAAGAAAGTTTTTACAGTGTAGATTAACAACAGCCTGTGTCTAGACTCCTATCTTTCCTTTACCTTTATTCTTTTCACCCAAATAAAATTATACTTTAAACCACGTCCATCAAACAGAAAAATAACTATCATCATAGTTTCAAAGAGTTCTAACGACAAGATTCATGATTCTTCCTATGTAATCTACTCTTGTGTCTAATATAATGAGTTGAAAATAAGTCTAACCTTATACGTATAAAATGTTAAAATATATTTGGATGGCTGGGTCGCCTGGGTGGCTCAGTAGGTTAAGCGTCCGCATTCAGCTCAGGTCATGATCCCAGGGTCCTGGGATCGAGCCCCGCGTCTGGCTCCCCGCTCAACAGGGAGTCTGCTTGTCCTTCTCCCTCTGCTCCTCCCCCTCCCGCTTGTGCTCTCTCTCTCAAATAAAATCTAATATATATGTGTGTGCATGTGTTATATTATTTGGATGGTTTAAATCAATTTATTGGTTTTTTAATTTCAAATAATTAGAAAATTTAAAATCCAGTATTTTCCTTGGTTGATTTTTATTTTTAAAAAGCATGTATTAAAAACTCATTTTCAAGTTTTAATCTCTGCCATTTTAAGAGCCAACCAAATTCAACTGTGGATCAGTCTAGTTCTGACAATTAACTAAACACTTTTTGGGGGGGCCTGGGTGGCTCAGTCACTAAGTGTCTGCCTTCGGCTCAGGTCATGATCCCAGGGTCCTGGGATTGATCCCGCATCGGGCTCCCTGCTCAGCGGGGAGTCTG